TGAATGTATAAGAGCAAGAAAAAGGTTTTATTCCCGAAAGTACTAAAAATGCTTATTTTGCTCGTGCATGTCTGGTGCTAGTGACCTATCACTGCAGAGCTCTTGCAGACTTCAATTATATAACCAAATAGGAGGAAAGAAAAATTTTAACTTCTTGAAAAAATGTTGGGTAGCTCTTTACTCTCTTTACAACCTTTTTGTCAGAGCTGAAACTGCTCTGGAGCCCATTGCAATTTAAGCTCGGGCAAAAATTTTCAACTGTGCAGACCTTACGTTTGTTCTCATATTGTTATCGGATCGGATTCAGGTAAAATGTTTTTCCCAGTTGCATTCTGCTAGACAGCTAGATTGACAGTGCATTGCGGTGAGAAAGTGCAAGACTCTTCTCTCTTTGTTGTAGAAGCTACACTTCTCCATTAAAATTATTTCCATATGCTCATATTATTTCTAGTAATCATTCAATTCTCAGTAGTGACACTTTAACCAATTTACTTCTTTTCATTCATGCGCAAGAAAAAAAGTGGTTTTTGTTTCATTTGTCTCTTGAAGTAGTACATTATACCATATATTCACGACTTGAATTCAGCCGGAGGCTGGCTAAGTTATAGCTTAGTTTTATGAACGAAATTTAAGTCCGGCCAGAGTTCCAAATACGATGAGACTCAGCATTTTACTTCTTTTATTTAACTATTTATCATGATTTAATAATTTTTATTAAAATTTTATTTATATGTTTATATTTTATTAAATTTTAACTTTAATTATTAGTCATTTTCATGATTTTATTTATTTTTTCCCTTCTTCCTGGTGGCCTTCCTTAGGGCTCTGACACTTCTGATTTTAGAAATTAAGCCCTATGCTACTACATATAATAGCTTCATTACTAAAAAATACATTTAAAACATTCATTTTACACAAGTAATGTTTCAAAGTTTTTTTTTTTTTTTTTAATTTACTTTCTGATAGCTTAAAACATTTTATTTTCAAACAACTGCCTTTTTCATAATATATTTCACAATGCAAAGAATCTTCAATATTATTCAAATCCTTTTAAGTAGCATTGTAAATAAAACTAGAAGAACATAATACATCTTGTTATCTTTCAAGATTCCTTCAAACTTTGATTAATTACTCAAAGCAGTGGTTTACTAACTTTGATGAACCTGGGAATACATAAAATTATTTTGTTATCTCAGAGAACTAATAATAATTTTTATTTCATTCTAATCATCTATTAGACCCTATTAGATCATCTGAAAAGTAATTGTTAAAATGAATTAAAAATATATCAAATTTTTAATAATGAAAAGTGATTTAATTCTTTTAGATAAAAATAAAAACTTAATTATTTAAAACGTATATTATTGTATATTATTGCGGCCCATGTTAATCATAATATTTTAGAAATCGTGCACTCTATGGTACATTTAAATTCTTTTAATTACTTAAGAACACAGCCATATTATTCTAAACAGCTGCATTTACAATTATCTTTCACCCCTGCCGTATTTTCACTACCTCATCTGGTAGTGATGCACCACTAGCCAGTGGCAAGATGGAGCCCTAAACAGACGAAAATACGATCTCTAAGCACCTGTAGAACCAGGTTGTTACCTCTAACAAACCAATTCGTCAAAAGGCTGAAAACAGATTTCTATCTAGAACAAGCTTTCACAAATCATGGAAGATTTCCTGCATACCTCATCAGGTTCTGCCATCAAAACGTAAAATGCGCCTGCGGTGCTTCAGTTTCTTCAGCAGACGTTTCACATTATATCCACGACTGTCTACTCACTTCTCGCATCAGAGCCTTCCTTCATCAGCTTTAGGGATCACATAGCCTCAAAGATCTTCTTCAGGATTACTACGGACAGCAGGGCGTCAGAACTACATAGAGTATGTCATTATAAGAGAACATAATCATAGCAGATAACCAGTCTAAGCACCTGATGAAATGTAAAGGCAGCAAGCCTCAACTCATTTATATGTAAATATCTAAGCTAATTAACCCTTTTTGCTAATTTTATACTAACATTTCCAAAAATTGTACGTTGGAGCACCCACAAAAGTATAACTATTGTTAAATCTGTTTATCTATAATAAGGTTGAAAAGATAAACAACCAAAATAGGTTGCTGTAGCAAAGATCAGAATAACACGACTGACCTGTAGTGCCCATCGAGGGGTGAAGCAGGCGAAATAATAAATAAACAAATAAACCAATTCTCCAGGTTACCAGCTTTGAACTTTTATCACCATTTTTGGTAATGTTTACATGGCTAATCTTTAGAATATGGTAACAAGTAGTTTGGCGACATTTTTGGTAAGGTGATAAAGGTTACTAGCTGGGACTTTAGCAATAATCTGAGAAGTACACAGTTCGAATCACAGATTATTTTGTCTCAGAGAAATGAGAGATCATGAGACATGTAATGAGACATTTTCTGGAAAATTCTGAACGTGATTTTAGGTAATTAGCACTTAGAAACAATTTCGCTGCTAAAGTGCAGAATCGACCACGGTTGATCTTTACAATATGGTAACTGGTAGTTTGGTGACATTTTGGAGGCGATAAAGGTTACTACCTGGGACTTTGGTAATAATGTGAGCAGTACTCAGTTCCGATTACGCATTATTTTGTGTGAGGGAAATGAGAGATCATGGGATATGTCATGTGATATTAATGGACGAATTACGGTTCTTTAATCAGAAAAGGGGGAAAATCGGGAAAAAATCTGGAAATTTTGTATTGGCTTATTCTGTGTTGTGTGAAACAGTGTTCGTGAATTTTGGATTCCATGCCGTAACTAAAGTGAATTCGAAATGGGTATTATGTATGTATTAATTTAATGTATGTGTCATTTTATTAAGTAGTGTTTTTGAATTTAATTATATTTTAATTAAATGATAGTTATTTTTGTGAATTTTATGTTTGTAGGAATTTGGTATACGTTTTAGTTGAAGTAAAACGTGCATGGAAATAATTTAAATATTTGATACTAAGTATTTGTAATGCTTGCGGTATGAATTCGTTGGTGACGTGTATAATGTAATAGATGATTTAGAGGTAAAAGTTTTTGGATATTTTATTTATTTTATATGTGGAAATGTTCATATTTGGAAAGGGTAAATACTTTTCGCGATCAGGTAATTTCATATATGTTCCTTTTTACCGGGTTTAAAGATTGAGAAAATTGTCATGTATTTTCGTGAAATTTTCTAATTATGAGAAAAAAGCAGTGTACATGGATATAGTGAAGAGTGTGCGCAATGCCATTTTTTGTGCAATTCTGGGATGTTTTTTTAAGTAAAAATAAGTCGGCGTGTACATGGTTTATGTGTATGTGTTATTTGTTTTGAAAAACGCGTAAGGAGTATGGTATTGTGCACTTTTTACCCCAATTTTGCAGTGAATATTTGTCATGATTAAGCAGTTTTGTTAGATAAAATTTCTAGCATCAGTGTAATTCAGCTAGTAGATTGTAGGAAAGAAGTGTTCAGTAAGATAAAAAGAAAAGAAACATGTCTTTACTTGTGAAAACAAAAATGGCGGCGGGAAAAAAAAAATAGAGGGTTGCGGTAGGAGAGTGGTCGCCAAATTTCGCCAAAAAAAACGCCAAGTTACCATAATGTAAAGATCAACCCAACACTTATTTGTTTGGCGCTTTTTACAGAGTAAGAAGGAATTGATTTTTGTCAATTTCTTGACTTTTTAGTGAAATAGGTCGATGTGTACATAGATAAAGTCAAGAGTGTGCACAATGCCATTTTTGTGAAATTCTGGGATTTTTTTAAGCGAAACTAGGTCAACATGTACATGGATACCGTGTATGTGCAATTCTTAAAAACGCAACAAGCAATTTGCGATTCTGCACTTTCTCCCAATTTCGCATATAATCTTCATCATGATTAAGCATTTTTGTTCCATAAAAGTTCTAGTATAAATGTAATTCGGTTAGCAGAGTGTTGGAAGAAATGTTGAGTAAAAAAACATGCCTTTACTTTGTGAAAACAAAATGACATCCAAAACAAAACTAGCAGGTTGCTCTAGCAGGGTTGGTCGCCAAATTTTCCCCAAGGTACCATAATGTAAAGATTCACAAAACTACCTGTTATTTAATCATAAATTGCCCATACAAATATCACAATTCAATTTGAAAAATGTGGTGGCATGCTACTGAACATAGCAAACTAGCTGAATTTCACTGCTGTGCTACATATAACATATTCTGCTTACTATTTGATGAATATTGCATACCTAGTTTGATCATCTTTGATTCGCCAACATCAGTGACCGAGTAGGACAGTTGCTGAATACTAGTAGTTTGACCTGGATTTAAACCCTGGCCTCTGTTTTCAGTTTTCCCCCATATGTAATGTGAGCTTGCCTTAAAATGTCCTCCACAAAGACGCATAAGTTATAGTGTATTGTATAATTGTAGTGTTGAGCTTTAGTTGCTTTGCCTTAAGCATACAACCCTCAAGTTGCATTGTGTTAATTAATTAACCTAACAATCTTTGACTTTATGTTTTGTTTTACATGTCATTCCTTGTAGAATTAAAATATCTAATCCACTGATACTTCTTATTTAAGTATTTGTAATGATTCGAAATCTGTGTTGATAATTTATTTTTTTCCCAATGCAATATTTACTGCAATTTGAATTCATTGGACTAGTTAAATGTAGCATTACACAAGGTTTATTATTATTAATGAACAATATGCTGTTTATTAGAAACAAAACTTCTCACACAAATTTCTGCTGAATCAATTACAGATCATGTACTACCTCATATTGTTTACCTATCTGCAACACTACAGTTTCAGGATTAGTAATCTATCCAGCATATCATAATGAAGAATAAAAATTAGAAGTTTAATGACACCCACGCAATCATAAATTGTATGCCCATGCACTGATTTACTTACTACGTACATTAATCTCTTAACACCAAATATGAATTTCCAAAAATACACAATGATACAGAAGGTACACTCACCACTGGTAGACTTGACAGCTGCAGTATTTGAGTATAGTTTTGTTGATCTGAAATTACAGTTTATATAATAATTAACAGCATAATTTTTTAAATGCAATATATAAAATTAAATTTGTGCACTTTAGTGAAAACTCAAAATTCTCTTTCCGAATTTTATACTGTTCAAAATAAAGGATTTGTAAATTTGCGTTCATCTTCGCATTCCTATAAGAGAATATAAATAAATACAAACACACATTTGACTTACTTATACAAATATGTCCGGCTTTTATTCGTCAAGCATGTCACCCTACTGCACGCCGCCATTGTTATTGTTTACAGTTTTCTTCCTTTATCACTCAGCTTGTCGACATTCGACCATTATATTGACCAAGTTTTCGATGTAAACAACAATAAACAATGCTTCAACCGGAACTATGAAATCTACTTCCGGTATAATGTCTACTTCCGGTATAATGCACAATTTTTCAAGCTATATTTTCTAATTTTCAGTTTTCATTTCTGCCCCATATTTTTTGCTTAACGTTTTATTTATAATTAAATCTCTTGTTTTTTAGTGCGACGAATATTGCTATATTTAATAATAAGGAATAATTTTAATGCAGAAATTGCCAGATTTGTTTTGTTATCGCTACTTTGGCGATTTTTTGATTTCCCGAGATCCCGAAAATCCATAGTGTTTATCGTAGTATCATTGAACAAGTTTTGGGGATTAAAATAATTCTTCCTGATATGCCCTCCTATAATTCTTTCTATATGAGTACATAAATGCCTTTTTTAAATAGTAATGCGTCGATATATATTTCTATTCCATGCTGTTTAATTCAATTCATTTATTCTATGAATGTGTTATTTTTATTGCAGATAAGTTTCATTTACTCTGTAAATGTGTTAGTTTTATTACAGATAAGTTTCATTTAATCGGTTAATGTGTTAGTTTTATTCGTCCTGTATGAATAAATAAATGCTTTCTTAATGTGTTGTGTTTTGAATAAACAGTATTTCAAATCCACGCTATTTAATTGAATTCATTTATTCTATGAATGTGTTAATTTTATTTCAGGTTAAGTTATTTTTAAAGCATTTTGTCGAGTCCGTGACACTTAGCTGAAAATCCAGTGCTTAAATTGCGCTGGAGCTCACCGGAGCCGAGCTCCGGTACTTCTCAATTTTTAAGATAAATTACAATTCTAGCCGGAGCGCACCGAAGCCCTAAATAAGATGAGCTCCGTTACTTCTTTTTATAAAAATGAACCACAATTTCAAGGGGGGGGAAGTTAGATTTCGTAATGTTTTAGTTTAACAATAAGCAGACCTTGCAATACTCTATTTCCCTAGAAATACGAACTCATGAGAACATAAGACGTTCAAGTAAAGTCTCCTCACTCACATGCGGAAACCTTTCTCTTTAAGAAGGGCTCTTTCTCTTAATTTGGGGGAGTTTGTTTAGGAGAGCGTAAATTTCTCGCCATGCTATCGTATGTAGTGTATTGTTATCGATGCTTACAGTTAGTTATGCTCGCAGGAAGGAAAATTTCTGGTCTTAAATGTGCGTTAAGGACAGTGAGTACAATAAACTGAATACTAACATAAACTGTTTAAGCACGTCCTATACATCGTCTTCCCACAGTGTCCACTAATGGGAGGGGAAGCGTAACCAGCAATTTTACATTCATCCTTAGGAGTCAGATTCAGGTTTCATTTTATTCCTGACACACATGTGCTTGATGGCTACAATTATATCAGCAGAGAGCCGCGGTCTCTCTCACCAAGATTTCCCTCATTTTTTGTTTCCATCCACTCATACCCTCATTCTGTTTCGCCTGGAATTTTCATCAGCTGTACTTTAAGTATATAAAATTTTTGTGAGGATAAAAGGACTCCCCCCCCCTACGATCACAGCTAAAATTGGGCCGGATGCTTCTCAGTTTTCGTAATAAATCATAATTCTAGCCGGAACGCACCGGAGGTCTGAATAAGAAGGCTGCGGCACTTCTTTTATGTAATTGAATAACAATTTCAGTAGAAATTTTATCTAAAAAATTTTATTTTAACAATAAAATTATATTAGAAATCGCTTATTAAATTTCAATTTAGCTCTTTACATTTTATTTAATTTTATTTACTTAATTACTTCAAACTCTTATAATTTCAATAATAATTAATTACCTAATAATTATCAATAATTATAATAATTAATTAATAATAATTGTTGTTAAATAAAATTTATAAACATTAATTTAAATAACTATTAATAAATTTATTAATGAGTTTAATGAGTTTAATATTTATTTATTTACTCTTGTTCTTCTTTGCTGACGTTCTTCCATAGGGCTCCGGCACTTCTAATCTTAGAAATTAAGCCCTGCGGAAACCACTTAGCCGACGGGACAATTAACCGACACCAGTTACCCGACAGGACATTTAGCCGACACGGACACTTAGACGACACGGACACTTAGCCGACAGGTCATTTAGCCGACACGGACAGTTAGCCGACAGGACATTTAGCCGACACGGACAGTTAACCGACAGGACATTTAGCCGACAGGTCATTTAGCTGACACGGACACTTAGCCGACAGGACATTTATCCAACACGGACAGTTAACCGACAGGACATTTAGCCGACACGGACAGTTAACCGACAGGACATTTAGCCGACAGGTCATTTAGCTGACACGGACACTTAGCCGACAGGACATTTATCCAACACGGACAGTTAACCGACAGGACATTTAGCCGACAGGGACAGTTAGCCGACACGGACACTTAGCCGACAGGTCATTTAGCCGACAGGACATTTAGCCGACACGGACAGTTAATCGATAGGACATTTAGCCGACACGGACAATTAGCCGACAGGACATTTAGCCGACAAGGACACTTAGCCGACAGGTCATTTAGGTGACACGTACACTTAGCCGACAGGACTTTTAGCCTACACACAGAATTCGCCGTCAGAGCATTTAGCTACGGGACAGTTAACTGTCAAGACATGTACCCAATAATTATTTAAATTTACAATCAACTACAAAATATCTCGACTTCTCCATAAGTTCAATATCTAAGTTATTTTTTTCATCTATCAGTAAAATTCAGTTTTCGATTCTTGAAGATATCAAACGTGCTTTTAATTTTTAGTTGTGTTAATTTAGCATTGTTTGATATGTATCGTGCTGCTTGGTGTATATTGGCCGAATTGAAAAAGCGCTGAAATTTCTCGTCAGGGAATATGAATTAAATTTCGAAAGGAAAAAGAATTTTTTAGATAAGTACAGCGGTCACTTAATTACATTTTAATATGCGATCTTCAAAAATTATCCGTAAAGCTTCTGTTATTTAATCAACTTTCACATCATTAATAATTTTCCTTGTTTACTTAATGATATTAATTTTCCAATCTCGCTCTTCCAAATGCTTTCAAATTTCTAATATCTTTACGTTGCATTACTATTTTGCTCATCACATCGTGTTACATTCCTTCCCTTAAAAAATCGTTTGGCTCCTCCCACTAATGAAATTTCCTTTCCCTGTGATGAAAAATCTGAATAAGGTAATAAAAAATTACTGTTCATTCTTTTGAATTATACTTTTTTTATGGAAACATATGGCAGTGAGGGTTAGTTTAGCAAATATATTTTATTTTGTTATTAAAAACAATTAAAAAAAGTGAATTTTTAAGACCAAAGGTATAAATTATTTGCGACCTCTATAATTAGCAGTTCATGCCACCAACCCAAAACTCATAAATTTTATGCATTCTGAGTTATAATACGTCGAATGGTTGTTGCTGTTGATGATTAGAGAAATTGTTCTTTCTGTCTACGGCGTTGCTTTATTCCTGCGATTTTGTGAAGAAAGGGAAAAAGACATTGCTCTCACTGCTAAAGTTGATCCTGAGTTGCTGTCGTCTCTTCTTGATGTTCATGATAAGTATGTTTTCATTATTCTTATTGCCATTAGGTTAAAAGTTAGGATTCATGTGTATCATAGACAAGGAGGCGATCGAAAACCGTATCAAATCTGTGTGTAATCACAGAAATCTGGAAGTTACCAGTGATAACTTAGAAAAACTTAAGCAGCTTATGCTTTCTGAGTTTCATTCTTATCAAAATTCATTTAATCCAAATAATGCGACTGAACTTCACTTAGCTCACGTCAATGCTATGGAAAAGGATATACAAATCTTAGAATTATACATTAATGAAATGAAACAAAAAGAAACCCTAAATAATCCAACACAGGAAACAAGTCAATCTGATATTACTGTTAGTCAAAAATCTAGAATCAAAAATAAAAACACAATAGATAAAGAAGTTTAAATTTAAACAAATTTAAATTTAAATTTTAACAAACACGTATAAAAGTAAAAATGCAAATTTAAAGAAAAAAAAAGCAAATTTAAAGCCAAAATAATTTTTTTAAAAATTTAAAAAAATGTGCAAACATATAAAAGATTTAATTCTCGAACTAATCTACAATATCATTTAAATTCAGAAGCATAAGCAAATCAAGAGCAAAACCAATCCATAAAAATAAATTCTCTAATTTAGCAAATTAAAATTAAGCCAAACAATTTTTTTAAAAATGCATAACTGAATGACTGTTGAGCAGGCAGGAGACAGACTTATCAAGGGAAAGTTGCCTCCAAACCTAACTCTCCAATAATTCAATTCGTGTTTCGTCATTCATGCAGGCAAAGGTAAAAGTCAAAACCAAAAGTAAAAAGTGAAGAATGTCCAAAAAGAAATACCAATAAAGTGGTACTCTTAGAAATTAGCATTTAAGAATTAAAGTTCTAAAATGAAAATACTAATGAAATCTTTTGAGAAACTAGCAAGTAAAGTCAAGTATTAAATTAAACTTTTTTTCAAAAAATGAAATTTAAAAAAAAATAATTTATTTTATATAAAAAATAATCTAGAAACCAATGTATTTTAGAAACCCTTGTCTACATAAACCTTCCCGACACGAATATGCATATCAATAAAAAGAAACTAAAAAAGAACTAGACATAATCCATATAAACCAATAAGGAACAAAAAGAACTAATTCACAATTTTTAAAAAAACAAATATATACTTAATATAATTTCATATCTAGAAAATACTTAAATGCTACATAAAAATTTTAAAAAATACTTAAAGCAAGTAAATAGTAAGTTTTAATTTATTTAAAATAACTACATTAAATTCAATAATAAGATCTTTCAGCAAGTAAGAGGAATTCCTATGGGAGCAAACTGTTTTACACGTTTTAACCTATTTCTTTTTACTTTTGAATATAAATTCCAACTAAGATTAAATAAAAATGAATTAAAGCTATTTGCTCATACTTTTAGATACATAGATGATAT